AAAAAAAAAAAAAAAAAAAAAAAAAAAAAAAAAAAAAAGTTTCAGATTCTGTAGCATTTCAGATTTCAGATTTTTGGATTAGGTATGTTCAACCCGTATTTCATTTTCCCTTTTAACTAGTTATTCAAAAGTTAAGTTTCTGAATAGCAAAGGCATTCACGTAGTTCACAGTTCAGAAACCACTAGCTGTGGTCATCTTGGCAGATGTTGAACGTGCACTTGAGAAACTTCCACATCCATTCTTTTTTTTTGTTTTTGGGGGTTTTTCTTGTGGCTGGCAGGTACAGGGATCAAACCCTCCCTAATGAGCACCACATTCTAACCAACTGAGCTAACCAGCCTCAACGTCATTCTTTTTGTTGTCGTTGTTGGGAGGCTGGCCAGTATGGAGGTCTGGACCCTTTTTATGTTTGTGTTGGTGTTACAACACCATGCCGTAACCAGTCAACATGCATTCCAAGTAAGACAGTTGGAGAAGGAGTCTTCCATCACGAGATACCATCTATCCATTGAATCTATGTATTTCAGTCTCAAAGGCACTCTGCCTTCATGCGGAAGCAGAAGTACCCGCTTTAAAATCAAGAAGTCAGCCATTCCCACTTTTTTTTTTTTTTTTTTTTTTAAAGATGACCGGTAAGGGGATCTTGACCCTTGACTTGGTGTTGTCAGCACCACGCTCTCCCAGTGAGCTAACCGGCCATCCCTATATAGGGATCCGAACCTGTGGCCTTGGTGTTATCAGCAGTGCCCTCTCCCAAGTGAGCCACGGGCCGGCCCAGCCATTCCCACTTTTATTTAACTTTATTTTGGAGTTACTAGTCAATGCAGTTAGAAAAGAAAAAGAATTTTAGATGTGTGAACATTGACAAAACAACAGGAACAATTATACCAATTTGTAGAAACGGGTACACAGAGCTTGTGTACCTGGAATCTCCAAGAAAAGTAACTGAAAAATGAAAACTACTGTACCCCATAGGAAGATTCAAAAAGGGACAAAGTATAAAATGAATGAGCAGAAACTAGCAGTGTTTGAACAAAAGCCAGTTAGGAAACATAATGAGAGAAAAGATAGCAATAAAACAGATAAGATGCTGGGAATAAGTTTAATAAGAGTTTGTGAGAAGGTGCTTTTCCAGCCTGTCACAGTGGCCTGGTGAGTTCTTGCTCAGGTGGTGGGAAGGCCTGACCTCTCTACCCTTGCCCGCAGACAAAGGCCTTCATCCACCACGAGCTGCTGGCCTACCTGTACTCGTCTGCAGACCAGAGCAGCCTTATGGAGGAGTCAGCCGACCAGGCCCAGCGGCGGGACGACATGCTGCGCATGTACCATGCACTCAAAGAGGCACTCAACATCATCGGGGACATCAGCACCAGCACTGTGTCCACGCCTGTGCCCCCACCCGTTGATGACACCTGGCTCCAGAGCTCAAGCAGCCACAGGTGCGGGCGGCTTGTTCACCTGCGTGCTGCGGAAGCTGCTGCCCATGGATTCCCAGCTCCCTTGAGTGTCCATCAGAGTCCTGGCAGGAAACTGGCAGGACCCAACCCAGATGGTGCAGCACCCAGGCCTGGCCACAGTGGGAGCCCCTCTCCTGCCTAGGCCTAAAGGAATGAGGGGAGGGAGGGGTTAAAGGTGCCCGTCAAGCTGTAGCTCGCTTCTGCTGTTACCCTCCTGTCTCCTATTAGGGTAGGTCAGGGAATCTCAGAGGGTGCCAGCCTCGCTGAGGCATCAGGGTGCCATGGAGTTTTGTTTTTGTTTTTTTTCCTTTTTTTTTTGTCTTTTTTCGTGTCCGGCAACGGATCGCAACCCTCAGTGTTGTGCCCGTACCGGACCGGGACCAGCAACGGGATCGCAATCCTCGGTGCTGTGCCCGCACCTCGTTCAGCCAGTGAGCGGGAACCGGTCTGCATGTGGGATCTGAACCCTCGGCGGGAGCGCCGCCGCACTCCCAAGCAGCGCACTGTAGCAGTGCACCACCGGGCCGGCCCAGCCATGGAGTTTTTTAAGGAGAAGACATAGCACCCAGGCCTAGGAGCAGTAGGGACGGAGGCCTGGGGGGCCTGTGGTGCCTGGGCGGGGGCTTGCAAGCTCTGTGGCCTCCAGAGGCATTTGGGCTTGATTTAGAGGACAGGGCTGGGCCCCACAGGGTGGGCCTGGGCAGCCTCTCTCTGAGCCTTTCTCACTTGCTCCTCGCCCAGTTTGACCACTGTAAGTGCCTGCACTCTGTATCCTATTAATAAAGTAAAATAAAGGGAAAAAGCTTCTGCTGGCTGCTGTGTGGGCCTATGTATTGGTGTTCAGGCTGAGGACACTGGTGTCACCTTCCCCCAGTAGGCCTCTTACGAGGACTTCCCCCGTCCCTCCCAGTGTGGGCCCCCCACACCTCGCTCACTGGGGGCTCTGCTCTGAGAGGGACCACACTCTAGAGGGGAGAGTTTTACTTTTCCTTAGCACTTCGGAAGTGGGGGCGAAATATTCCCTGCTCTCCCCAACCCCACTAACCCACAGGCTGACTGCTGCTGCGATGCGGTGCGGCTGTGGAGAGGGAATCCCAGTCCTCCCTCCCAGGCCCCCTTTCTCCCTCTCTTGCCATCTTGGGGAGCCCATGCCTGGTGGCCCAGCCGGGGACACAGTTAAACTTTGTTTCTGATTTTTCTCTTGTGCCCAGGCGACCACCTCCATCGGCTCCTGCCCGACCTTTCTTCTGAGCTTCGTGGGAGACCCCTCTCGCCTGCATGGCTGCCCCCTTGGGGGCAGTTCTGTCCAGGCTGGTGTCCCTGAGCCCCAATCACCAGGCTCTGTGATTTTCTGAACATAATTTATTGACTTTGGTGCCCAGGCCAGACAGCCCTTTGCTCCTTGAGGTGCCTGCACAGGCTTTGGCCGGGCCATCCCTCCACCCTGTCTGGGGCCCCTGCAGGGAGGGGGGGGGGCAGATGGTCGCACAGGCCCCCCTCCTGGAGTTCTGTTACTAGACCTCAAACCCAGCTGGCCCTTCGCTGGGCCAAGGGACCAGGGCCCCTTCTTGTCAAATAAAGTGACTATCCTGGCAAGAACTCTGCAGCCGTGTCTCCTTCCTGGCCCCTGGCATGAGCAGGCCTCCCCCATCCTAGGAGAGAAAGGAAGGCTCAGGGTTCAACAAGCAGTAGGCCCCCCTCCCACCATGACCTGGCTCAGAGTGCCCAGGTGGGAAAGAACAGGGGAAAGAGGGCTTCCTGGGTCCCCTCCCGCACCAATGCAAGGGGGGGGGGGGGGGGGGGGGGGGGGGGGGGGGGGGGGGGGGGGGGCAGAACATCCATCCATCCATGATTTCCATCATCCATGATTTTCCAGGAAAGTAGGTGTGACCACCGAGCCACCCATCCTGCAGGGCCCAGGCTTGCAAGCCAGCGATGTTCCCTGCCCACCTGGGAAGGGATGAGATACACTGGGCCACGCCTCAGGCCCCAGCTGCACAGCCTCCCCTCTTGCAGGAAACTAAGTTGGGGAGGGACCCCCAAATCACACACTCCCCGCTGCCCCTCCTCTTTCCCCATTCTTCCTCCCGGGGCAGGAGCTATGTGGGCACGGGGCGCTTGTCCTGGAAGAAGCGCTTGAGCGTGCAGACCTGCAGCACGGCCACCAGTAGCAACACGGCCACGTTGACAGCTGACCAGAAGTTGACCCGCTCCAGGTTGCCCTCCTGCAGGTTGCGGTCACGTGCTTCAAAGGCCCGCAGCAGTGTCAGCATCTGGATGCTGCGCTCTAGCCGGGTCCTCATGGTCTCAATGGACTCCTGCAGAGCAGAGGGAGTAGAAGGGTCAGGCTTCTGTGCTTTGAGACCAACAAAACCAGGGAAAACAGGGTGAGACTGTTTTAGGCGGGAGAGGGACAGCTGAGAACACAGACTGCCCAGGCTGCCTAAGTCCGAATCCTTGCTCTGCCACTCACTGGCTGTGTGACCATGAGCAAGTTAATCTCTCTGAGCTTCGGTTTCCTCTTCTATAAACCTCAGAATTACTGTGAAAATTGAATGCCTACATAAGTATACAGAATATATTTACCAGTGGTTAACAGCATAGTCGCTGAAGCCAGCCTACCTTGGGTTCAGATAACATCTCTGCCTGTTGCTCACTGTGTGGCCTTGGGTGAGAGTTACTTAGCCATCTTGTGTCTCAGTTTACCCAACTGTAAAATGGGGATAATTAAAGCATAGGGCCTACATCATGGGGTGGTTATGGAGATTTATGATATGAGTTATTTATGAGATATGAGTCATTTAAGCCCTTAAAACAGGGTTTACACCTAGAAATTAGCTATTTTAACTGAGCTACTAATGTTATTGTAACTAAGTTGGGAGCACCACTAGGTAGAGAAGGCTGGGTCAGGCCAAGGGGAGGATCCCAGTCGAGGAAGAAGGGCAGGGATACCCTGCTACCCAATGCCAGAGATCTGGAAGGAGTGGCCCCAGGTAGAGAAGGCTGGGTCAGGCCAAGGGGAGGATCCCAGTCGAGGAAGAAGGGCAGGGATATCCTGCTACCCAATGCCAGAGATCTGGAAGGAGTGGCCCTAGCTCAGCCTGGGCCCACCTTGATGTCCTCCATTTTGACATCCAGCATCTCCTCGGGCTCCACCGCGTCCGCCCAGCCCTCGACCTCCTCGTCATCTTGCAAGCTGTCGAAGATGAGTTCAAAGAACACCAGCTTCTCGGAGATTGTGCTGAAGGAGTTGTCAAAGCACAGCTTGTAGTCCCCGGCCTCCGTGGGTTCCACCCTGACCAAACACACACACACAGACTTGACCCTGAGTGGCCAGCCAGCCGGACTCTGCGGGGCAGGCAGGGTGGTAACCCGAGGCCGCTGGGAGGGGCAGGGCTGAAACCGAACCCAGGCAGGTAGCAGGACTTAACTCACGTGTGCATCCCGTCAGCCTTGCGGGAATCGCTGACCAACAGCACACCCTGAGGGCTCTCCAGCGTGAAATCCACGTCCAGCCCAGCACCTCCGATCACCTGCGGGGCAGGTAAGAGCGGGTGGAGGGATAGGGGTAGGTCAAGGGCGCCTTCCAGAGAGGACTAGGACCGGACCAACCCGCACACACCCATGCAGACTACCAAAGGCCTCCCTGACCGCGTACACCTCTACCTCCACCCCGGTCCTACCCCTACTTGTCTCTGCGCCCCTTGCCTACATCCGCACTGACAACGAACTTCGCGGTCAGGTCCTTCCTCTGGCCACGCCCTCGTCTAAAGTCCTTGATCGACGTTTACCTGACCACGCCCTCTGTCTTAGCCCCGCCCCAAGTAAGACTATAGGTCCCTTTCTTTAGCCCAACCCCTGAGAAATTCTCGTGTTGACCACACCTATTCGCCCAGCCTACCTATCAGCATTCTGGCCACGCCCGCTAGCGCGGTTCCTGCCCTCTGGAGGGCTCCATTTCCCGTTGGCCCCGCCCCCTCCGGCTGTCTCGCCCTAGCCCCGCCTTCTTCATGGCTCCCACCTCTTCCGCTCCCACGCGCCGTCCCCGCCCCCCTCCGACTAGCACTCCGTGGCCCCTCCCCCTGCGCGCCCACGCACGGACTCCTCCCCTTTCCCTCTTTAATACATGCCTCGCGGCCGCTGCTTAACCATGATCCCTTCCCCTGGGGGCGCTACCTTCCTTGCCCGAGACCCTCTCTACCTGGTACTCGGTCTCGAGAACTGCGTTGGCCGGCGCGGACTGGTAGAAACACTGCTTCCTCCCTGCGGGCAACAGAAACGTGAACTCGCCGTCCTGGATCGGCGGGGGTCCCACCCCACCCACCCCCACTGGCAGCAGTAGTAGCCACAGGGCCAGGGCCAGGGCTAGGGCCGTGCCGGCCGCCATCATCCGGGTCACCCTCTGGTCTGCTAACGGGTCGCGGCTCCTTTAAGGATTAGCCCTGCCTCCTTTGCTACTTGGCGGAGCTCATTGGCAGCTACTTCCGCCCGTTGTCAAAAAGCGGTAGAGCCAGGACTGAAGGACCCCTGAGAGACAAGCTGTCCGAATGAATGCCTAATGCGCCTGAAAACATTTAGCCGCTTAAAGACTTTTTTTCTGAAAGGCCTTCAGTTCTAATTTCAGTCGCTGTTGGGGGAAGAAATGACAAAAATAAGTGCAATGATGACCCATCTTTCGCAGGCAAAAGTTAAGACAACTAAGGTGGAGGCGGCAGGGTCCTTCTAAGGCACTTCCCGCTATTTTCCCAGAGTACGCCGCGCGCAACGACCGTAAAGCCATCCAGTCTGATTGGCGCGGGCCAAATAGCGGCTGGTCGTGGCCCTGCGCGCGACCCATAGTGATCGCCTATAAAAAGACTTAGCTGGGAGCGGAGAGGAGATATTTTATTAGGGGTTACGTGTTGCTCCTGGGCTGTGAACGTGGCCTCGGACTCAACGCCCGAGCCCTCATTCCCTTTGCGCCTTAGAATCGTCACTTTGTCAGTGTCCTCGTCTGTAAGTTGGTGATAACGGACCGACCACCCTATAGGGTGGCTGTGAGAATTGAGTGAAATAAGGCCTGGCCTATATTGAACGCTCCGCATTCCTTGCTTAGTCAGTAGAAGGGCGTGGTCCCACCCTGCCTCTCAAGGGTTTCAAACTCGAGGGCCAGCGTGTCAACAGTGACCGAAGTGGTCCCGGGTCAGAAAAATGACAGCCCAGGTGCCAGGTTTAGTTCAAACCCCATCCCACCCTTTAGTTGAGGCAGTCAGCCTGCTGAGCCTCAGTTTCCTCATCTGCAAAATGGGCATGGTAATAATCCTACTCCGTTGTGCTGCTGTGAGGATTAAGTGAGATACTGCTGGTCGAGTGCTTACCCCACTGCTTGGCACAGCAGTGGCCCTCAGTAAATGATAACCTGTTACTTGGGTCCTGGTTTATTGCCCACCATTGGGCAGCCTGTCCCTTGACCTCTCCTTAGTCTGACTTGCATCTGGGCTGACCTCCCTCCAGGAAGCAGACACATAAGCGAAGAAATCATTGCACAAGTGCACTCTACTTGCTGATTCCATATAACATAAAAAATGTTTAGACGAAGTCTTTAGTCTTCAAAGACAGGCCCTGGAGAGACTGGCAGGTAGTCACAGTTACTCTTCAAACACACTGGGGGTTGTCAGCCTTTACTGCATTTGGAGAACTTGGGGAAGAAGCCGCACTTTATAACGTCGGTTTCTTTTTCACTCCAAGTTTTTCTTTTTTCCTTTTTCCATCGAGGCATTTTATTTGTATGTATGTATTATATTCCTAGGAAAAAAAGAATCCCAGGATTTTCCCTTCCGTATGTTTTCGTCTTGCTTCTTCGTGGTCCTTGATGCCCTTTAAGGTTGTCAGTACAATGTAACCGAACTGATGGGATAGGCGCAGATTATTCTGCCATTTTTCTAGATCTTTGAGTTGTACATCACATCTGGGGCTGATCACTCCACGCTTGTTTAACTTCTGAGGTTCACAACAATTTTCCCAGCTCTGTGTTCATCAGTGATTTCCGATTCGCCAACATAACAATGCGTCGTCATCAGAGTTAGGACCGGATGGTGACTTTGGAGCATGGCCTGTAAAAACCTCTCTTTTTGGCATTGTTGGTGCTTTTAAGACCATCAGCCAGGACACTGATGTGCACCGTTCGGCAGCATGGAAAGATGGCGGAAAGAGATGAGAGGGGGAGCGTTGGGAATTATGGGTTCACCCCAAGTTTTTCTATCATGTAGACTTAGTGCTTGGACATTTTGAAGCAGCAGTAGAGAATGGATGATTCCCTTTTTTTTTTTTTAATGCAGTAAAATTCACATTACGTAAAATTAACTATTTTAAAGTGAACGATTCAGTGGCGCTTAATGCATTCACAATGTTGTGCAACCACCACTTCTATCTTGTTCCAAAACATTTTCATCAGCCCAGGAAGAATTTCTGTACCCATCAAGCGGTTATTCCTCATTCCCCCTCACCACAGCTTCTGGCAACCACTAATCTTCTGTCTCCCTCTGTGGATTTACCTACTCTGGATATTTCATCTGAATGAAATCATGCAAAGGTACTTCCAAAAGTTCATGGAAAGATTTGTATTATCTTTTAGTTCTATGTTCCCATGAACTTTTGGAAGTACCCTAGTACAATATGTTACCTTTGGTGTCTAGTTTCTTTCACTGAGCATGTTTCTGAAGTTCTTCCATGGATGGTATATCAATACTGTATCCCTTTTCATGGCTGAGTAGTATTCCATTGTATGTATATATCACATTTTATTTATACATTCATTGTTGATGGACATTTCGGTTGTTTTTACCTTTTGGCTATTGTGAAACATGCTGCTAGGAACGTGTGTTTATTTGTATTTGTTTGAGTATCTGCTTTCAGTTATTTTGGGTATATATACACTTAGGAGTGGACTTGCTGGGTCATATGGTAGTTCTGTGTTTAACCTTTTGAGGAACTACCAAAGTGTTTTCCACAATGCTTATGCTATTTTCCATTACCACCAACCATATATGAGTGTTCTAATTTTTCCACATTCTTACCAACACTTGTTATTTTCTATTTTACTTTACTTTTATTCTAGTCATCCTAGTGGCTGTGAAGTGGTACCTCATTAAGGTTTTGATTTGTATTTCCCTAGTGAATAATGATGTTGAGCATCTTTTTATGTGCTTGTTGGCCATTTATACATCTTCTTTGGAGAAATGTCTGTTCAAGTCTTTTGCCCATTTTAAAATTGGGTTGTTTGTCTTCTTCTTGTTGGGTTGTAAAAATTTGGGGGAGTTTTTTCTTTTTCTTTTCTTTTTTTTTGGCAGCTGGCCAGTACAGGGATCTGAACCTTTGACCTTTGTGTTATAATACTGCACTCTAACCAGCTGAGCTAACCAGCCAGCCCCCTAATAGTTCTTTATATATTATGGAAAGTAAGAAAGAAAGAAAAAGAAACAATAAAAAACATCTACCAGTCTTTGCAGATCTACTTTGACCTTTGTGTTATAATACTGCACTCTAACCAGCTGAGCTAACCAGCCAGCCCCCTAACAGTTCTTTATATATTATGGAAAGTAAGAAAGAAAGAAAAAGAAACAATAAAAAACATCTACCAGTCTTTGCAGATCTATGCTGGAGTGCTCCAATGCTTAGCCAGGGCACCTACAACTCTGCCTTAGCCTTCACTTCCTGCTTGTGCTGAGCCTGGAGATCAGCCAAAGGTGAAAGCTCAGGGTCTTCTCAAGTCTTTTCTGAGCATGCGTTCTTCCCTGGGCATGCATGTTGCTTCCTAAATTCCTTAGCTTATATGGGTGCTTTTGAAAGCCTTTATTACCCAAAGAAAATTTCACCTCAGCTTTTCCGCCCAGGCTCTTGGTATGTCCACTGTTTTCCTCCTTTGTAATCTTTTACCCTGGGCAGCTCTGAGTTCTTCCTTTGCCTGCAAATGTTTTCAAGGAATGCATTCCGAGTTAAATAAAACCAACACCTTGAACAGTGCTTCTGTAGCCCCCAGATATGTTCAAACTGAGAAACACAGTATTTTGAGAATAGGGGCTGCTCTGCTCCTTCAGGAACCAGAACCCCATACTGGGAGCATAGGCTGCTGGCTTCAAGGTCTCTGCTATGCTGGGGAAGAAGATGGGACAAAGGCAGGTGAAAAACAAAAACACAAAGCTTTCCTGTCATGTTCAAGTTGCCTTTTTCTTGTTAAACATTCACTTGGTTGGCATAAATGTTTGTTTTCCAGAGTTCGGATAAAGTTGATTCTGACAGATTTTGCCTAATTTTTTTGTTGTTGTCGTTGTTTGTTTGTTTTTGATATTTCCGTGGCGGAACCAGCCCTTGGATCTCCCTACTCTGCCATTCTTGCTGACCTCTGGGGTCCAAATGGGTGATACATGTCCCTCAAGTAAACAAAAACTCTTTCTTTCTCCAATTATTCAACATGTATTTACTGAGCATGTGACACTGTTCATGTCATCATGGAGCTGATAACCTAGTGTAGGAGCCAGACAATACACAAGCAAGTTTAGCATTAAGATTATTTCAGGTAGTCACTGGTGCTCAGAAGTAAATGCAAAGTGGTAGGTGGTCATGGGGTGGCTGATTTAGCCTGAGTGGAGCCAGGGAAGGCTTCCATGAGGAAGTGGCATTTATGCTGCGAATCAAAGTAGAAGAAAGAGAAGCCAAGCAGAGAAAACAGTGCACTCAGAGGGCTCAGGGGGCAGAAGGGAGACCAGGGGAGAATGGGGGTGACAGAAGGAGCCAGAAAAGAGATGGGAGCAGTCATCAAAGGCCACGTCGTGTCAGGTCCCCTCTTCCCTTTGGAGTGTTGACCTAGAATTTTGGCCTGGGGTTTTTAAACCATGAGAAGTTTGTAGACTAGCTTCTGGAGGTCAGCGACCCCCTAAAATTATAACCCAAAGATTCTGAGAGTATACACTGGGTAGTCGTTGTTTGCACCACCAGACGTGATCTCACCCTTTCCTGCACTCCTCTGTGCCCTGGGAGGATGATCTCCACACACTAGGTCAACCCAGCTGCCTTTTCTTCTTGCTTCCGGTTGGGTTTGGTCCAGGTGGAAGATCTGAGGGCTGGAGGAGAAGGAGATCTAGGTTTACATCCCCTGGCCCCTGCCTTGTTGGCCTGCATCTCTCTACCAAAGCCTGCAACCACAGCTCTTTCCAGCTAACTCCCATAACTGCTTCCTCCTCAGCAACGTCACTCCCTGTCCCCAGAGTGTGGCACCATCCCTGTTAATTTCCCTTCACCCTACCCATGTCTGCTCATGAGGGTATCATCTGTGGATTGGTACTTGGCCAATACAGATATGTATGGCTATTTTTCTGAGCAGAGGGTTTAGTGAATTCAGAATTCCAGATTGTTGATTCCTGCACCATATTAAACTCTCCCCAATGAAGTTGTGTTTTTTAAAAAAATCTTTATCTCTGCTTTTTTTTTTTAAATTAATCTT